AAAAAATTAAATTTTAATCAATAAAATAAAAAATAAATCACTCTTAGTCTTAGCAATAAGTCACGACTAATTTGTACAAAATTTAGCACATAATTTACAAATAGTATTTTTTAAAATTTATACTTCTTCTTACAGTAATTATTATTTATATTATGTAATAATTATACGTTTCTAATGGGATGCAATAATTTACTAAAATAAAGAAATTAAAAAAAATTTAAGTTACTGTATGTATTTAGTAACACATAAAAAGAAGACCAAAATTTAAGGATGAAAAAATTACTTTTTAAAGTATTTTTCAAGATAAGGAGGATGATACAATCAAAATAATTTTCTTATACTCTTTTTAAGTTAACACAACATTAAAAAAGAATCAGATATTTGGGTACAATAATTTATCACAAAATCTTAATACATAGATTTAGTTAGTTGAAAATTTAATTTTAAGTAACTATTTAAAAAAATTTCTTCATTTTTCTATAATTCTTCACGTTTGAAAAAAAAAAAACAACATTCAAGAAGTATTTAAATAATTAATGCCTTTTTATTTCTATTTTGATTAAAAAATACCTCTTTTTTTTTTCTTTTCCCTTGAGTAGAACTCAAACTTGAAATCCATATTTTAATTTCTCTCATAAAGATATTTATATGTCAATTAAAAAAAATTATTGTTAAATCTCGTTGACAAATTATTTGTTTGTTTTTTTTTGAATATTTTGTCGAGACATAAACCTTACAAGCGTGACTAGAACCACTTTACCCGAAGAGCCAAATTCGACAAGTTATTTGTTAAAGTGGCTAAAAATATATTTATGTAATTTTTTGAAAAGCATAGTAGCACAATCATTAATTAAAACATGTCGGACATCTATCTAGTACAGTATAAAAATGGACCAACAGTTATTTAGGTCCATAAATTCATAAACAGGATAACGTTTGAAAATCAGAAAATTCAAGAAATTGGAAATGTCCTTGTCGGGTTGGGAATTTTCTTCGCATCAAGCCACAAGATATTTTTAGCCCACGGTTTCGTCAATCCTACTTTTTGACTGCCCATCTAGCAAGCAACCACTAATGAGAAAAAAAAAAAGAAAAAGAAAATCGATTGAGTTCATCCATTATAAGTCTCACTTTATAATGGAATTTTTTTTTTTTTGGTAATCACCCCCATGTTTTATTTTATTTTATTTTATGTGTACGTTATGCAATTTAAATTTAAAATTTTTATTTTTGATAAACGAAAATAATCATTGAATTATTTAAATCGTTGATCATAATATATATTTTTTATTTAAATGTGATTCGTAATATTATATTATTTATTTATTTAATAAAATATAAAAATTATATAAAAAATGGATGAGGTTACCATTTTAATTATAAAATATAAAACTCTCTATTTTAAAATCTAATACAATGTAAATTGCACAACAATTTTTCTTAAAAGAAATTGTTTCACATATCATTATCTCTATAGAAAAGTTTGCAACAAAATAAAAAGAAAAATGGGAGTTGTTATTACCGCTTGTCATTATTTTATTTTTTTACTTCATCAGTATTAATTTTTTTCATAATTAGTAAGTTGGAGAAATGCTATCTGCTTTACCACCTTGCATTATATTGCTGAATAACATAATACAAAAGGATACGATAAAAGGGCTTTGTACATTCAACCCAATCAATGATACTTAAAAATGGTATCCAATCTTTGTTTTTTTGATAAATTAATATCCAATTGTACATTAAAGTAGTTCATCACAAAAAAAGAAAAAGAAAAAGAAAAAAAAAAGAGATTACATTAGAGTATTCATTTTATTTTAATTGATGCTGCTTGGTTCAGCACACTGAATTGTCACCTAACAAATTACTGGTCATCATCTCATAGCCGTCCAACACCTAATATTTTTTATCATCACGTTCCATTTTTTTCATTTAGAATCTTACACTTTGAAGATTCTACATAGACTAAAAACATCAATTGGAACTATAAATAGCACTTTTTTTTTTTTTTGACACTAATGGCCAAGAGATTAGACACAATGACAATGCTATAATTACAATATTATATAAGTATACAATTATAACATAGCATAAAATAAATATAACATAACATTAACCAAATAAATATATACAATAATATATATTAATCTTTATATGAAAATAGTCAATTATATAACAATTTATCATACTATTAATTTACAATATTACGTGACTTACATTAACTGAAAAAATAAAATTTCCAGCTCCACCTACCATGACTTTGAGCAAATCTAGATTGAAGTACTTACTCCGGATATGCATGTATTTTTTTATCATGATGATTGTGTGAGGGGGAAGGTGAGACATCGATGACATGACATTGCAAGTTTGCAACCCACGAGAGCCTTTTTTTTCCATATCAAGAAAGAGCACACATCACACACCAATGACACATAATGAGAAAAAAAGAGAAAAAGAGACAACAGGTGAGGGGAAGACAAAATGATAACATTACCCATGAAGGAAATATTGAGGGTCTCATCATTCTTGTATCTAGGTAACAAAAAAACATGGTACAGGAAAATTCTATGTTAAGAATTGGATCATGAAACTAATCATCAAGGGAAACACCACTGTATATGTTTCTCTTTTGACAGGCAAAATTATAGGAGAGACCCTCAAAAAAAAAATGTAAATAAATTAATTAGCAATTTTCTTGTCCATTGAACAGGTAAAATATTTCAGAACTTACGGAGAATGAAAATGTGGGATTATGGGGACCTGTAAAATCTGCGACTGTTTGATCCCCCAATTGATGATACCAAATGGTTGATGGCTCAATGCATGATAACTGACAAGGAATAGTCTTGAGCTATGGAAGAAAACTTTCACACGCTTGGACGTCTGCCTGCTGCAATGCCAACACTTCTTGCCCAGAAGGGCTAGAGTTAATGCTTCTCATGGCAGCACTGAAGATTGATTTCCGGAAATTTCGGTCTTCTAACTTTGATAGAATTGCCTTCATGACCTTGAAGTCCAAACCACCAGCTGCACACAGTAGTCCGAGAATCTCACCAAAGTTATTTGGTGCTTTTGGTAGATCAATGCCAATGTCATCCAACAATGAGGCATATAGAAGACAACCAGTTCCTATATCCTTGGTAGTGAAGACATTCTTGCTTAGCATGAAATTGAGAAGCTTTATTACTGGTTCCACACATGGTGGAATCTTTTCTAGTGCAAGAGCAATGGCTTCTTTAACAACCTCGGGATGGAAAGCTGGAGATTTGAGCTCCTCAATACACTGCAGGGCTTCATCAAGCATTCGGATGCTGAAATATTCCTCTAGCAGAGATGTAGTTTTCTTTTGAATATCTGCAGGATTTAATTTTGTTGTGGTAGCCAGTGGCTTCTCAGGGGACTTCACTGCAACTGACACAACAGGCTTCTGGTTTTCAGGTTCAAATCTTGGAGGTTTGGCTGGAGGTGCACCATTAACTTGCAATAATGCACTTGTTTTTCCAGCTATCATACCACCACTGCCTTGAGGAAGAAATTTAGAAGGCAGGGATGGTGACTTGCCAAGAAAAGGTTGTTGGACATGCCCAACAGACTGAGTGGGACCGGAACCATTGCCCCTTGGCATTGACCAAGACCGAGGAACCTCCCAGTTATTAGCATCAAGGTCTGGCATTCCAGGCTTCCTCCTGGTTCCAGGCATCCCAGGCATCATACCTCCAGAGCCAGGCCTTGAAATGGGGAAACCCTCTAAAGACATACCTCCAAGAGGACCAGCATTTAGACCATTTCTGATGTTTGCAGTTGCACCTGGTCGAAGACCCAGAGTTTTTTCTGCCTCCAAATGAATTTCAGTTATAGTTTTTGCTTTAACCTGCCAACACAAGATCAAATAAGATCAGATTCTTGATTTCATTTCTCTATCTTTTTATTGTTGAATGTGATTTTCCTTCTCCAATCAATTTAACCTTCATTTTCAGACCCTTCTCTAGATAGAACTTATGAGGTCTAGTCTAGCGGCAGTGAAATAATCATAGGACAAGAAGAATGAAGATGAAATCAACAATAGATTGAAATGCTCAAATGACAGCCTGTAAAATATCAACCTCTTCGCGTCTAGGCACCCAGTTGTTTGCCCGGAGATCGAGAACATCACGAACCATGAACCTCAATCGTGGTGCAAGTTCTGGATTTGTTGTCAGTCCCTTCAACCTGTTAAAATACAAGTCATTGACTCGTCTAGATTTCGGGTTCTCATCCAGCTGCTTCCCAATAGTGTTAAAAAACTGACATATAGCCTCCACATTCTCCTCAGCAGGGCATGTACTATCATGTCCCAAAAGCTCCTGTACCACACAAAAACAGAGTTAACAGGAAAGTCTAATTGCAAAGAAGAAAATAAATGTCTGATAAATAAGTTCCACAAAGGACCTGAACAATATGATGCACTATCTTTTCAGGCACCATCTTCTGCTTCAAGAGCTCTCCAATAAGGCGAATGTTGCCCAGAGTTCGCAGCTTGACTGTTCGTTCCTTATCCCTTCGTTCCATTTCCTGCTCGGGGGCAGTCATCTCCCTAATTTCTGCCCTCAAACTGTCTGCCCCTTCAAATGCCTCCTGGCAGTTGTTCAAGAGGACCCGCTTGAAAGTAATTTCTTTCCCATGAGGTTCATCAGATGGGAATGGAGGAAGCTTCTCATTAAGGTCAGAGCACAAAAGAGCATACATTGGACAAAATGTGGGCTCCAGAACAGCTTTATCAAATATCAATGAGATAACACCCTGAGATGCAGATAGACCCCACAATTCCATTAGCAGACATAGAATATTAGATAAGCATTACAGACAAAGGTGCTACAAAATAAAACAAAAAGAACCTTTAAAATATCAGGGGTTGTAAGGCCAGCATCAATCAGCTGACCCTTGAGAACATCAAACTTCTCTGGAGTCAATTTGTTCAATATACTGCACAATAAATATAAAATTTGTCATGGCATCCTTTTAAGCAATACAAACAGTTTTCCAATTGAACTATGTGCAAAAGACAACCTTGAATTAGTACTAGAAAGTCCAAATAAGTCATACCTTTCATAACTTAGAGATCATGTCAGTAAAATACTTTGAAACTTGAAATTTGAATCAGAGGATCAATTACCCTTTTACTGTCTTTAAAATGCGTTCCTTCTCAGAGAGATTCCCTCTTCGAGCAGCCCATGGGACTTCAGCCTTAACAAGGGTAGGAGTAGGTCCTACCTGGTTTACACATGAAACTCAAACAGCATCAATAAAAAGAAGCTAATAATGCCAATAGAAGAAAGGAAAAGAACAAATACACAGATCCCTTCTTCTCTACTCAATGTGAAGTCACCCAACCAACAAATTGACTGCTTTATGAAATGCCTAACTTTTCTGGTGCAAATAACAGGAAAATGGTCTAGCTCAAGCAAGCTTATTAGAATTAGACTCTCTATGCATCACATTTTAAAAACTTCTGTAATAAATTTCCAAATTTCCTAGCTTCAGTAGAGAAGAAAAAAAAAAGAAGAAGAAAGAAATCATCTTCTTTATGTTTGTTGCATTATCCTGAAACATCTAATGCTATATTCCCTTCTCAAACAGCCTGATTCTTTTAAACAATTCAGTTATTCGGTAGAATTGGTAATAATTTGTTACCCAGGAGGAAATTTGAGCTTTTGCAAACTGGGAGCCTACTTGATCATGACTAACATCTGACTTATGTAGCCCTGAGTCCTTATTGTCGCTAGAGATATCTGAGGATCTCTCCTCTCCCAATGCAGCAGACCGAACACGCCAATCACGGTTGTCTGGCTCAGAATAATGATTCTGGGATTGAGGTTGCAGCTAAAGAAAATAAAATATAGATAAACATAATAATTTACAAGTACAACACAATGGTTGATATGAGTAAAAGCACCACCAAAACAGAAGTAATAACTAAATAGTGTTTTGTGAAAGGCAAAACCTACAGTGCCATTAGTCAAGCCCCAGGTGTGATTATCACCAGCAAACTCAGACTCAATTTCCTGTTTTATCTTCAAAATATCCTCATGGATACCAGCAACCTAAGGAAAAGGGCAAACACTGAAAAATTAGAAAAAAAATTTAAGACAAAAGATTTACAAACCCAAAGCACTAAAATGTGTCAAAATTCACTCCAGTGCTCCACAATTTAAAAGAAACGCATATAATAATGAGGACCATTATTTAAAGGAAGTACCTCCTTTAGTTGCAATAACACTTCACGGGTATACTGAACACGGTCATGACCTTCAAACCTCAAATCCCCAGTCTATTAAAGCAGTAGCAAAAAAATAATAATGATAATACAGGTAAGATGATTATAAAGATTTAGTACTAAAAATAAAAACCACTATATATAAACACAAACTGCTCCAAAAGTTGAATTATTGTGTTAGGACAACAGCAGCAGCAGGAAGTGCCATTCCACATATGCATGAATAAGTACAAACTAAAAAGCTGATAAGCATGATATGGTCCATCAAAGAAAGACTAAGTGCGGAATTCTACCTACTCCTCAATGGGGAACAGTTATATAGACTGAAAAAAAAAAAAAAAAAAAAAAAAAAAAAACACTGTCCAATGTAATGTAGGCTCTTTATGGGCATCAGTATACTCATGGAATGCCCACCTAAATCCTACATGTCGATCTATGTCCATATTTACAGCAGGTACACACACTTAAGTGACCCACCAAGAATTAGGACAATTAAATCTGTAAGCATCCAGTCCATAAGCATTCCTTTTTTTTTCAAACCCACAACATAGTGTTCCCTGAAAAAAATACCTTCAGTCCCTAATAATCACATGCATACTGACATTTAAAAAGGTTAACCTTTTTCTTCTTTTTTTTCCTTATGTTGGTAATACAATGTCAAGCATTCAAAAAGAGTATTTCTTCCTGATAATGACATCTGAGATAGCAAGATTAGAATTCTTTTTTTTTCCTTATGTTGGTAAAACAATGTCAAGTATTCAAAAGGAGTGTTTCTTCATGATAATGATATCTGAGATAGCAAGATTAGAAAAACCCTGAATCCACTCAAATCTCAAAGAGAGAGAGAGAGAGAGAGAGAGAGAGAGGAGAAGAAGAAGAAGATAATACAAGAAAGATCCAATTTTCAAAAGAACCTAAGATCTACAAGCTGGACTAGAGATTAGCAACCCAAAAAGCTAAAAAGCGAAAAGGCACAGACGAGCCCTCAACCATGAAAAGCTAGGCACTTAAACCTACCTTGAATGCAGAACGCAGAATCTGGGAATCAGATGAAGAGGAAGAGGAGGAGGAGGAGGATTCCAGGCAAGACGTGAAAAGTCTGGTGCCAGTCCGACCACCACCACCACCTCCAGGTCTCAAGCTTATCACCGTCTGATCTGCCTGCATAACTAGGAATCTAAAACCAGGAGCTAGCAGGAAAAAAAAAAAAAAAAGGTATACAGAAGAAAAGGTAGGATCTTTAAGGGAGATTTGAATTGGGTTTTAGATTTTATTTTGATGATTTTAGTTCTAAGAGTAAAAGAAAGATACAGATAGATAATTCTCTCTAGTTCTTCTTGTTCCGAAATTAGGGTTTTCCCTCTTCTATCTGTAACTCTTCGCGGCGGCAAAGAGATGCAGCGAAAAAGGGTAACGCTTAACGGGAAAAACCCCGCCTCAGTTACAAAAATTTAATAAAGGCCAAATGTGAATTTGGTCCCTCAACTTTAAAATTTTATATAAGTACCTTTTTAGTAATTTTTTTATCCTTTAACTATGAAAATTATATATTTTTTCATTAAATTTATTTAAATATATACATTTTTAATCTTTTAATTTAAATTTAAGGGATAAAAATATATATTAAAAATTAAGAGACTAAAAATATGTATATTTAAATAAATTTAATGGATTAAACAAAATATTTTTAAAAATACATTTTTTATAATTAAAAAACTAAAAAAATGCACAAAAAAATTACAAGATGAAAATTATGTAAAATTTTAAAATTAAGGATCAAAATTAGAATTTTAGCCTTTAATAAATGAAGTTTTTTTTTTTAATTTATTATTTGGATTCTCGAGCAAGCCCTAAAATTCTATTGGGTTTGGGTTTTGGCCTATGGTCACGTGATGGAGATTTGTTATTTTATGGCCCATAATTAAACCGGCAGGTCTTTTTTTGGCCCAATAACCCAACATGTCCAACATTGTATCTGCTGCAAATTTGAAGTTGATTTTTCTTTTCTTCTTTTTTTTTTTTTTAAATGGAATCTGAAGTTGAATTAGTCTCAAGAGTCAAGACTCTCAAGTCTCAACTCGAGTGCTAACATCTACATTGATAAAATAAGTCACTCCCAAACAAAATACATGTGCAAACACTTATTTTTTAAAATATCAAATATTCTAAGTTCATCTATTTTTTCTATTTTTAATTGTATAACAAAAAGTAATATTTTTAGAATTTATATATTGGAGTAGAGTTGGTAGTTTAGACAGCAGCACCAGCGTAACTCTCACATCCTTTTACTCACTTTATTTTGTATATTTTCAACTCAAATTTAATATTTGTTATTCTATTCGGTTGAAAGATTATATAAAACTATTTATGTTGATTATTTTAATTTGATCTTATTGCTTATTGCAAAATAGAGCAGGTGCGGTGTTATTGGTTTTTTGGGGTTTAATTAAACTAATAAAGGTAAAAATGAAAAGATAAGCACTAAATATTAATAAGTAAAGTTTTTCAACCAAAAATATTACAAAATTGAAAGGTTGAGGACTCAATTGAACATTTATTGAAATGTTAAGAAGCAACAAACAATTTACTCTAAAAAGAAAAAAACTACTAGTAAACTACACACGTGGAACTCTATCTTCCACCGCAAAAGAGCGCAAGACAGTTCCCATTCTACGGCGTAGCTCGTCTCTCTCTGACACCCAGTTGGCCAAGAAACCATGGCTTCCATGCCTTTCTCTGCAAGTTTCTCGTCGCCCCTGTATGGTTTCTCGCAAACCAAACAGACCACAGCTTCGTTTTCCTCTTTGCCTTCGATGTCATTCTCTTCTCGTTCCTTCAAATGTTGCCTTGGGTCCTCAAAGTCGGCCTCTCTCCATCGTGAGTTTCCTTCTAGTCCTGGATTTCGATTGAAATCTCGATCGTTTCGCGTTTATGCAAGAACATCTACGGAGAAAACCCTACACGATTTCACTGTAAAGGTAAGTGCTTGGAGCTTGTTGAAGAACCCTTTTTTTCCCTTTGTTTAGGATCAATTTTGAGGTTTTTCAAGTCCTAAAGTTGTTCCTTAATTGAACAGAATTTAGAATTTTAGCCGTTGTCCCCTGTATTTTCTCCTTTAAATTGATAGGAAATGCAACTGGGTTTTGTTCTTTTCTGTGCAGGATATTGATGGGAAGGATGTTCCTCTTAATAAGTTTAAGGGGAAGCTTCTTTTGATTGTCAACGTTGCTTCGAGATGGTACTGTGTCTTTACGAGTTTTTTGGATTTTGGATTAGTTTCCTCTTCTTCTGCTTTTTTGTGTGTGTTGTAGTTAAGGCTTAGGTGTCTGACTGGAAATTTCTGCTTTATTTACAGTGGTTTGACATCATCAAATTACTCAGAGCTCTCACACCTGTATGAGAAATATAAAAACCAAGGTGAGCTAAGCACTGAAAATGAAAGGGGTTATGTTTCTGTGTTAGAATTTCCTGCTGGCAATTAAACCATTCTCGATGTTAGTTTTCTATGTTCTTATATACTATTTGGTTCTCTTGGTGTGAAATTTATGTAGCATGCCTTTATGTTTCTTTGTTAGAATTTCCAGGTGGCAATTAAACCGTTCTGGATGTTAGCTTTCTATGTTATTGTATACTATTTTGTTCTCTTGGTGTGAAATTTGTGTAGCACGCCTTTACCCTATAGAAAAGTTTATTGTACAAAAGGCTTAGTACTTTAGCACCCTTTTCCCAAGCACTCCAATCGAAATGCAGTATTGTGGGACTACTAGGGGAGTAGAGTTTTGGAAAACCATTTTGCATAAAGTGGCTACTTTGAATGTGGTTTCTTGTGCATAAGAGTACATTTTATCGTTGCATTGCAAGGGGGCTGCATTTTTTGTTCCTTTAAACTCAATGGAACTTCATTTGGAACAAGCCTGCTGCTAACTTTTTACTATTTTTTTATGACATTAAAATGATAGAATTTGTAATCAGAAGTTGAGTCCTAAAGAATTTTAATTGTCATTTGATATGAACTACGTCGAAAGGTTCTTTCTTTGCTTTCGAAACCCGAACTTGTGCATTTGGTAATAGTGGTAGAAGAATTTTCTGTTAAAGGAATGTGTTTTACTTTCAGAGAAAGACGGAAGAATTAGGCATCCGTTTTATGACATAAATATCTAACTATCAGGTGCTGCTTTTTCTTTGTGATTATAATGGATTTTACTAACTGCTCTGTGCTGTTTCAGGATTTGAGATTCTAGCTTTTCCTTGCAATCAGTTTGGGGGACAAGAGCCTGGATCAAATTCTGAAATAAAACAATTTGCTTGTACCAGGTTTAAAGCAGAATTTCCAATATTTGATAAGGTTTGTCTAGTTCTTTTCTTCCGACTATAACACTTAGTATCATAGACAGAATATTCCCTGGTCTAAAAGAAGATTTCGTTTAACAGGTTGATGTGAATGGACCAAACACAGCTCCAGTTTACCAGTTTCTCAAGTCTAGCTCGGTTGGATTTTTCAATGACCTGATCAAATGGAATTTTGAGAAGTTCTTGGTGGATAAAAACGGCAGAGTTGTGGAACGGTATCCACCGCCAACATCACCTTTTCAAATCGAGGTATGCGTTTTACAAGCATTTTCAAGATTGTACCAAACAAAGCCAACCTTTTAATGTCGAGTTCATGGATTAGATAACAATGTTGTTAGACCGTTTTCTTTACTGGTTTTAACTAGTTCCTCAATTTGTACAGAAGGACATAAAGAAGCTCCTCGCAGCATGACCCATGATGCATAGCTGGAGAAGAAAGACATAAATTTCTGGAACAGGAATGAAAAACAGATTACTGTCCTCTGTAATGTACATTATCTTATTATAACGTATATTGTTCTCTTTCACCTCTTCCTTGGTCAGAAACTCAGTCAAAGCAAAAACATTTTTATGATTTGCTCTTCTCCTTTAATATGATATATCATATGTGTTTTATACATGGTTTACATGTTAAAAGTGCAATTCAGTTGCACTTAGGCTTTCCGTCTATGACGTCAAACCATGTTTAAAGTGTATATTTTTCTCCGGACAATTGTTAGAATTCAGTTCTTTGTAAATTTGTTAAAAAAAAAAAACAATTCAGATTATGAATTTATTAAAATGTTTTTAATAAAATAATATAAAAAATAATTTTATTAATAATATTTTAATAAATTTGTAAGCCAAATTATACTTTTAATAAATAACGAAAAATATGAATCTCATATCTTATATCACAAACTTTAACAGGTCTTACTTTCTTCCTTCCAAGTTTAGTTCTTGGTCTTTCTCTTATTAGATTCCCTCGGAATATGATAAATGCACTAAAAAACTTCCCTGTTCTCAACGATGCCGCTTAGCTTTGAATACAAACAATAAAACCTAACTAGAATTTTAAAGCAACTTGCTGCATTTTATTTGAATAAATCCTTATCACCATCTTAAACTTTCCTGCTTCTTGTAAAATTCAAATCATGTCATCACACAAGACTCAAGTGTTCTGATTTAGACACGATATTCTTCTTGTAATGAAATATCATGTTTGAAGGAGTAAAAGTTCATGGAGTGAGGGTCGGGTCAATTATAGGCATCTATTTTTCTAACATTGTTTCCTCTTTATGTCATGCTTTGAATACAAACAATAAAACCTAAATAGAATTTAAAAACAACTTGCTGTATTTTATTTGAATAAACTCTTATCACCATCTTAATTTTTACTGCTTCTTGTAAAAATCAAATCATATCATCACACAAGACTCGAGTGTTCAGATTTAGACACGATATTTGTGTTGTAATGAAATACCATGTTTGAAGGAGTAAAAGTTCATGGAGTGAGGGTCAACCATGGACATCTATTTTTCTAACATTGTTTCCTCTTTATTTAATGTCAAAGTTTTGCGGTGGGATTTAATATTCGACCGGAGTTCGGATCTTGGATGCAATCAAAATCCCATCTTGACTTTAAATTTTCCTTGCATTTTCACATTTTCTGTGAATCTCACTCAGAGCATGGACTCTAAAGAAACAGAGAGATTTGTTGAAGAATCTCTCTCGAGTTCGTCCAAAAAATCCGAACCCATTTTGAGCCAAGAAGAACACCATCATTCACCGCAAACCTGTGTCAAGAACAACCCTTTTTCAATCTTTCTTGAACCATTTCAATGGCTGCAGATGCTTTCAGACCAACTAAACCCCACCTTCATTTTCGGCATAGTCGTCGTTTATGGCCTCAGTCAAGGCTTCTCCGGCTCCTTCTTCAGAGTAGTCACTGACTACTACTGGAAGGATGTCCAGAAAGTCCAACCGTCGGTGGTGCAGATGTACATCGGCCTATACTACATTCCTTGGATAATGAAACCTATCTGGGGTTTATTTACCGACGTGTTTCCGATTAAAGGGTATAGAAGAAGGCCTTACTTTGTGGTCGCCGGAGTTGTGGGGTGCGTCTCTGCTCTGATGGTTGCTCTGCTCGGTAATCTTCCGGTGGCGTTGGCGTTGGGGTGTTTGATTGGAGTTGCGGCTGGCATGGCAGTGGCGGATGTGACTATTGATGCTTGTATTGCAAAAAATAGTATTGAGATCCGGGCATTAGCACCGGACATGCAAAGCCTTTGTGGGTTTTGCTCCTCCGCCGGCGCTCTTATTGGGTACTCTACCAGCGGCTTTTTTGTTCACCATCTTGGAGCTCAGGTGACCATAAGAAAATCTGCAATCTTGAAAATTCTGGATTCAATTATTATACCTCAATTCTTGTTCATTAATATGTTCTGTTTTCCATCTCTGATTATGACTTTTGCAGGCAGCTTTGATTCTTCTGGCAATTCCTCCCGCTTTCATTATTTTATTAGGCTTTGTGATCTATGAAATGAAATCTACAACGCTCCATTCTGATCAGAAGCAGAAGGTTAGATCTTTCTAGTTCATTTTTCATAGGTAAATTGGCCATCATCGTTGCATACACGGAGTTTTTCACACATTTCTGAATCAGATTTTACTGTAGTGCTACTCTTTATCAAATCATGTTTCAGTTCTTAAATTCTTTCAACATCAATTGAAAATTTTGGGCAATAATCCTTGTGTCATTACGTGATGCAACCTTACTTTTATTTAATGGGGGAAACCACTGTCTGACCTAACCCGACTTGTTTAAAGAAGGCTAAATTGCCATTCAACAATTTGTTGCAATTAAAAATGTTAAATTTAGTGCATCATTAATTCATTATTTAGCTGTCCTTTAGGGACAACCTAACAGTTTCTCCATGGAGATCTCATGTGCAAAACCTTAGAATTGGCAAAGGGAGGGAAGGACTGTTCAATTGGAACAAAGAAGACATTGTTTTGGTTGTCTGTTATCTTGTTTTGTAAAGAAAGTCCTCTTCTCTTTTTAGAAGAAATTGAAAGTCAACTTCAACTCTATGTTTTCACATGCAATGTTTCTTAGACAGACTAATAATTGAGCTTGCTGATTCGTTTCTATCATTCACGTTGACCAACTGAGTTTACTTTCTGGATGCTGCCTACCCTAGATTGCAACTGAACAACTGGCCAACAATATATTTTCTTGGAGCTCTGTTCTTTGAAGACCCTTAAATCGTTGTTCTTTTTGTCTGTCATTGAATCCGTTAATGGTTTTATAAAGAACAAATGGAATAATTTTTTTAGAACAAAAAGGTGCTTTCCAGGTTGGACTGCAGTCCAGACTGAAAAACATCAAACTCATTTTAGTATAGGTTCAAACATTACTCTGGTGTTAGTAGGTTCAGCTTGAAATAAGGGTTTGAATTTTGAACCTTGGATCGAATCCCATCTTGCCTTCAACAAGGGGGGAAAGGATTACTTTCTGTTGTATGTCTCATCTGTACTTTCTGTAGTAAGAAAAGAAATCATGTCTTTTTTAATTGTTTCTAATACAGCCAGTGGAAAACTTGGGAATAGCAGTAAGGGGAATGTATCAGACAATCAAGTATCCTCAAGTGTGGAAGCCATCACTTTACATGTTCCTCTCTCTGGCGCTAAGTATAAGTACTCATGAAGGGCAGTTTTATTGGTACACTGATCCTAAAGCCGGCCCTGCATTCTCTCAGGTTCTTACAGAAACCAACATTGTAATTCTTTTGTGTTATACTCAGCTTGAACTATTCTAAACTTGATTTGGGTTTGACTACAGGAATTTGTCGGCATGATATATGCAGTGGGTGCAATGGCTTCAATGGTGGGGGTCCTCATCTACCACAAGGTACTAAAGGACTACCCTTTCAGAAACCTTCTCTTCTTTGCTCAACTTCTCTATGGCCTGTCTGGAATGCTCGATCTCCTCTTCATCCTCCGATGGAACTTAGCCCTCGGCATCCCAGATTCCTTCTTCGTGATCTCAGAAGAATGTGTTTCGCGAATAATATCCAGAATCAGGTGGATCCCCATGATTGTCCTGAGCACAAGGCTTTGTCCTCTAGGCATCGAAGGCACATTCTTTGCACTCTTGATGTGCATAGACAGCTTTGGCTCACTCACCTCCAAATGGGGAGGAGGAATGGTGCTTCATGTGTTGAATGTCACAAGGACTGATTTCACAAATCTATGGCTGGTTATTCTGATAAGGAATTGTCTGAGACTTGCAACATTGGGTTTGATTTTTCTTGTCCCAAAGGCTGATCAATTGGATGCACTGATTCCTCATGATCTCTTGACGAAGAATTCAGCGCAAACTGGAGATGATGAGGAGATTGAACTTGTCCCCAATAATGACAAAGATGTAGTCTAAATCTAAATGGAATCGTTGAGAAATCAAATTTCCACTATTCAAAAAGATTGTGTACCAAATAACAGAAAACAAAAGCTTTTAGGTGAGAACTGCCTCTGTATATAAATATACGGAATACTAGCCAAAAAATGAAAATTTGCATTGTATGCTGCTCATTTTGTTAACATTTTGTTTCTAATTACAAAAGTGATACAATTTGAACTCATAATTTTTTATTTACTTTCAAATGAAATTATCACTAATTAACTTGTTGACTAACTAATTTTTTGAATAATGATGTGATATTTGAATGAATAATGAGAAATGAGACAAAAATTTTAAAATTAATGACAAGACATAAATTATATCATTTAAAATATAAAAAATAGATTATTATATATTGTTTAAAAATTAATTCTTTTTATTTTATTGAGACTCATACTATCATCTATATCAATTTATTTAATTGCATGTTTATAGCATATCATTGGTATCAAAATTTCATCTCTATATCACTATTTTATTTGAATAACAACTTTAA